TAATAAAATTTGTATTTATGTTTTTTATAGTATTAATTTTATTTATTTTATTTTAATATATTTTATTTAAATAGTTAGAGAAAGAAACTATCTAAATAAAGTTATAAAAAATTAAAGTTTCTATAATAAAAATTTCAGTTCAAAGTATTTAATTAGATTTATATAAATTATGATTTACTTTTTATATTTATTTTAGTTATTAATTAAAAATACAAAAAACAAATCTTGAAAAAAGAAGTTAATTCATATAATGATAGTATTAAGTGATCAAAAATTAAAATTAAAATATTTCTTGAGTTCTAAAAAAATTTAAAAAAATAGAAATAAAAAAGATGAAGATTTATCAAAAAAAATGTAAGTAAAATATATTATCAGATTGTATTTTTGATTAAATTAAAAATAAGGTTGAGAAATATAAAAAATATATTTACAAAAATAAAAAAAGCTAATTCTACTATAGTCAACTCTTGTTATAATGAACTCTATGTCTTAGACCTTAACTTCGCTATAAGGCTATAGTAAAGATTTTAAGAAATTTGATTGGTCAATTCGCTATAATAAGAGTATTTTTATTATATTTGTTCAAAAAATTCGTTATATTAAGAGTTCACTATAACAAGAGTTGACTGTAGTAAAGATAATATAGAATGAGTCTAATTCTCATAAATAGAAGAAATCTTATTATAAACTAAAGCTATTAATTTAAATTATATTACAGATTTCTCAACTTTATATTCTCTTTCTATTTCTGATAGTAAATATTTAAATAATAAAGAAAATTATAAGATTAATGAACTATAAAAAAAAAGAAAATTAGTAAGAATTAAAAGTATATCTTAAATAATTATAGTAATAAAAGAATTAAGAAATTGATTTATAAAAAAAATTAGATTTAAAAGAATGAGAAAATCAAAAATAATTTGAATTAGAGTAAAAAAATTAACTTAATAATATGAGTTAGAAAAGAGTAAGATAGAAATAAAAAAATTGTGTATTAAAATGAAAAAGTTAAATTAGAATTAAAAATATTTAAAACTTCAAACAATTCAGATTAATTCAAAGATTTTTCAGTTTAGATCAATTTGAATTAGTTTCAGATTGCAAAAAAAATAAATCTGAAAATTTTCAATTCAGTTCAAATTTTTTTTAAATTATAATTCAATCTGAACTGAAAAAAAATCTGAATTAAATCAAAATTTTAGATTAATCTGAAAGTTCATTTTAAATATATGCAATTCTTAAAGAGAATCTGCAATTTATATATAAAATTCTCTTTGAGAATCGTAAAGATATGAAATTCTTAAAGAATTGTAATAAGTTTTAGATTCTTTAAGAGTTTTGTATATATATTGTGGATTCTCTTCAAGATTCACATATAATCATACTAAAATTTTAGATTAATCTAAAAATTTCAGTTTAGTTTAAATTTTACCAGACTATAGTTTAGTTTAGATTCATATTGGTATTTTTAAGGTTAATAAACTGAACTGAATTGAACTGAAATTTTCAGTTTAGATTCAGATTGGCTTTTAATCTGAATTGAACTAAACTGTTTGAAGTTTTAGAAATATTAAAATTTTGTAAAAATAACAAGTAAAATAATAATAAAATATATATATATTTTTTAAAATTTATTTGAAAGATTTTATTTATTATTAACTTATTATATTGCAAACTTATTTAACATTCTTTCTTTTTTAAGTTCTTTTTCTAATTTTAAAATTTTATCACTTTCATCTTTCCAATTATATTGATCAATATCATCATTTTTATAATTGGTAATTTTTCAAATTTTTTCATAAATTTTAAGAAAATTATGCAGTAATATAATACAATTGCTAATTTTATTGCTATTTTTATATCTTTTACAAATAATTCTTTTAGTGTTTTAAATCTAGCTTTTAATCTATCAAAGACATTTTTATAATAATTTAGTTTTAAATAAATAAAATTAAATTAGCATTATTGATAATTAAAAAGATTCTTAAAAGGAATAATTAAAAAGAAGAAATCAGATATGCTAAATTGTCTAATATATAATCTTCTTCTTTTATATATTTTGTTTTATTAAGAAAAAAATCCAAATTAGTATTAAACTCATATATTATGTACTAATTCTAGCTATTTTATGATACAATTAATAAAATTCCTTTAAAATCAACAATTATTTAATAATGAACTGCTTATTTTTTTTTTCTTATAAAAAATGCAATTGAATCTTATACAGGTGCTTTATTTAAAATAAAATAAGTTTTATTTATTGCTTTAATTATATTTTTAATTTTACTAATAGCTTGAAATCCTCATGAACAGTTGCTCGATGATTATTTTTAAGCTATTAAACAAATTCAAATTTTTTATTTCTAATAACTTTTATTACACGATTAATATATAATAGTTACTTGATACTTGTATTAAGTAACTGTTGTATTTACAATAAGTAATATGATTGGTTAAAATTTGTTGAGCTCCGCTTAGCAAATTCCACTTGATCATATTTTTATTGCAAATATATGTAAGGCATAGCAGTATCACAATTACAGGGTTACGTAATGCTGAGTAACTGTTTTATAAGTTTACACAAAATAGTTAATTTAAAAACTTTATTAGACTATTTTTTAGCTTTATTAAACCATTTTTTATAAGAATAAATAATATTTCTTTTTTCTTTTACGTGTCTTGTTTTTTTTAAAAAAATTTTTTTTTTTTTTGATAATATAAATGCCACAAAATATTTTATCCAAAGGTAATCAATTACCTTCACTTAAACAACTATCAATACTTGTGAAAGGTAGAGTTCCTCAAAACACAATTGTCAAAAAATTGATGTTAGTTTAAGAAATATTATAAAAATTGCACTTTCAATAAATAAATTAATAAACAGTTATTTATAATTTGACATAATAACTAATTGTACTAGTAAGAATCATCAATTAGTAAATGACCAATAAATAGTATTACAGTACCTTCACATATTCAAGTCAAGAATAAATACTTAAAATATCATCTTTAAAATCTAAATGCCTAAGAAATATTGCTAATTGAAGTTTAACTAGTACTTGTAGCTTATTTCCTTTGGTTTGAAAAACTGCATTATTTTGTAAAACTAATGCTAGTTTGTTAAACTGTTGTTTTTCTATTTGTACAACTTTTTTAAAACGTATCATCATATAATTGTAATATTTTATGGTACCAATGTTGAGACTTAGTAATATGATTTTGAAAAGCAAGGTAAAGAAGATAAAACAATTTAGAAAAGTCATTTATTTCTTATATTGCTAATAATGTTAAAGCAAAAGAAGACAAAAAAACGGAACAGATCTTCTGCTCAATTTACACTATTTTTTGATTGACTAAAAAATTTTTATAAAGAACAGGCCTAGAAACAGTTTAAGGTTCCCCTACTGGGAAAGATGTTTTTTCCGTGTCTGGACACGTGACTTATTTTATTACTACTTTTGTAAATCATCGATTCCTGTTCATCATCCCCGATACCACTTTTGATACACCAAATATAATTTTTCTATCATATAAGTAACCATGATAATAAAGATCGATTACGTATTAAAAATTCTGAAAAACGCGTTTTCTTGTTATTGTTGTCAAATAATTAATTACATATCGATTCTGTACAACCAACGGCAAAAATATTAATTTCGGTAACTTTTTTATTTATTAAAAACTAAGTAAAATATAAATTTGTTATTATAGAACTTTAAATTGTTATAATCAGTTTGTGAAAAAATTAAATATTACAGAATAATATTGTGCATACATCCTTTTCAAAATAGTTGCACGACGTCTCTTTGAAAAACACATAGAATGTCGATCACGAAATTTTGAGAATTTACACTCAACTCCGCTTTTTGGTGTAATAGTAGCATAGTAATTAAAGAAATTTTCTTTTTTTTTTTTTTTTTTTTTTTTAAATAAATATTAATTTCTGGGAATTCCAGTTATTTTTTTGTTTGCGCAAAACTTTACGTTAATTAAAACATATCATGACCGGGAACATTCCAAAGCTCGGATATTATATTTTCGTTGATTAACTCATCAATCGTGGTGGATGGTAAACTTTGTTGGGTATTTTGTATTCTTCCTTGTATGATATCCCCAATTGAATTGGCGAACCGGAGCATATTGCTCATTTCTAAATGTGAATAGCAATTGAATTCGTTGGTATTAACCGAGTTTCTTGTAGCTGGGCTTTCATTCGTGACCTTTTTAAGGTTGTTAGCTAGGTTTTCCAATGAGTTTACTCTTTTTTCGAGTATATCCACATATTCATCACTTTGTTCGCAATTTTTACATTCGTTAAACTTTTTCTTTTGTTTCTTAGCGTTCGTCTGCAACCTTCGAACCACCATGAAATGCGTTCTTCCTGTAACGTCAATGACATCGGGTGTTGTGTAAGACTTTCGTCCACGTTTTGACGGGGTATTCGTCTTAAACGGCCTCGTTGCGATTTGTGAAGGTGGGGTCATTTTGTACTTTTTTTATCTTTTTTGTTCTTAAGAGTTAAGAAGCTTAATATGAAAAGAAAAAAAAAATTCGAGCTTTATTTATTAAAACAATTGGCAAGCAATTTTCCGAAACCAAGTCACATTGTGATCATTTATACTAAACCGATTTTAATAGTAGCCAAATATGTTATAAATATATATATATATATTTTTTTTTTTTATTTTTTTATCCGGTTGAAAATGATTTTTTTTTTTTTTGGTTTTACTCGGGAATAGCTCAGTGAAATCTTTTTGTTTTTAGGCAACTACTTTTGGTAATTATCGGAGTTGGGAATTCCAAATATTTTTTTTTTTTTTAGATTACTCGGTTATGACTCAGAGATTTTGAACATTTATAAAAGTACAGAATTTTTCTTCGAGTTTTTAAAAAAAAAAATTAAATCATAAAAAGAAAAAAGGTATCAAATATTCGGATTGACACAAATCTTTTATTAATTTAATTGTTGATCATTATTCATCCCTTCTACATTTTTCAAAATGCAATATCCTAACGAACCGAACTTTGATAGTTCTTTCACAATTATTTCACGTAATTCTCAAGGCCATAACGTTACAAGTGGCAATGGCATGCAAAATCCTTCGACTTCTAATGATGAGTTCATTTCTCACGTGGAATTTATACCGTTCAATAGCGAGCAACAACAAAATCGTAACGATAATACGCTTATGCAAGTGATGACCCCAAGTCAAGCTGTTCAGATAATTCAAAATTTTCAAACACCACCTATGGAATATCCTCAAGAGAGTGTTTGTATGGCTAGACATTCATTCTATTATAGTCCTTGCAATGATGATCATATTTATCATATCATCTGTGAAGAGACAGACTTTTATGAAGTGATTTCTCACTTGATAAATAATTTCCTGTACTCTTCTCATTCAACTCATTCATATATATTTTACTTTCAACAACCTAATGATAAAAGAATCTATCAAGTATCATGTGAAATGATCAATATTTATGTCGGTGAAATCAATCAAAATGAACAGCAGCAACGTGTGGAATTTTCTAATGAACTTCGAGAAAATCTCGAATTTTATTTGAAACAGAATTTGATTAATTATTTGGCACCAAAAGATGGATTATTTATGAACGATGAAATATGATTTTTTGGACATTCAAAACGATGTAAATTAATTTTCATAATCGGAAATTATATTAAGGGTAAAAATTTAGTTTGTATTATATTTTATATATTTATATGACATTAAACTATTATTGACAAATATGTTTTCTTGATTTGGAATACACACATTTTTAATTTACTAATTATTAAATTAGTTCAATTATATCTTCTTGCGATAGATTTTCGAAATTTTTTTATAACAAAATTTTATCATATTCTTGTTTCCTTAGCGGGCGCATCCCTCATTATTACCAAGTCTTCGATTAGGAAGTTTAAACTCGATATATTAGAATCAATTTAAGCAAAATCTGTAATGGTTTATTAATTCTTACCAAATACGTTCTTTTCATTGATAACATGTAATCAAATAAAATGGGGGAACAAATTTTTTTTTTTTTTTCATCATTGAAAGTAGGCACATTAAAATGTTAAATATTTCATAATCTACGTATAAAATATTGTGAATAAAAATTTCTCATTTTCGTTCTTGCTTTTTTATCATTTCAATGACATATAATCGTAATTGTACGGAACCGGTTTTATTTTCACAAACCGGCTTTAAACACTTTTTTAAATTTGAGACCCGGATTTAAACCCAATTTAAATAAAACCGATTAAACCGGGCATAAACCCGAATTGCTATAAGTTTTATAATGCAATATAATATTAATAAAAAAATTTTTTTTTTTTTTTTTGATTTTTATTTAATTTTTTATTAAAAAAAAAAAAAAATATTAAGCTAATTACATGATTAAATGATTGACAAAAATTAGATATCTTGAGAAAAATATTAAAAGGATTATTATGCTTCTTTAAAAATAAAACTTGATTCAATATAATTGTCTACAGAAGTGTAAGGAATGGATAAATATTTGATGAGATAAAATATAAAGCTTTTGTTTACATCGCTCCACTTTTAAAGGACCTTCTGTAATGTCTATTTGCTGAAGTTCTAACTAAATTTAATGTAAAGTTCATTATAATCGCACCAAAAAAACATGCAAATTCATAATTGCACCCTAAAAGAAAAAAAAATTTGAATCGTCTGTCATAAAATTAATCTTTTAACGCATTGTAGGAGTTTGATTTTTAATGCATAAAAACAGGTTTAATGTGATCACCTAACTTCTATTAAATGACGTATAATTTATTTTTAAATGTTATTTTTAAGAATTATATATTTGACCGATTTATTAAAACCGGATTTCGAATTTCTAAGAACCAGACCCAGTTTATGTTGCAACCGGTTTAAACCGAATTTTAATCGAATTATACTTCAGAAATATCAAAAAAAAAAAAAGAAAAATAATATAACTTCGTTTCTAAAATCACATGACTAAATATTGAGCGGTCAAAACAATTAATCTTTATACAAAGCTTATAACTATCCGTTAATATGGGGGTAAACCATCTCTAATTTATAGCCATTCACGGAGAGTCCGTTCAGATTATACATGATAAATCCAGGTATTCCGATTTTCTTTGGCTTGTGTGTGCAATCTATTGACCCTTTGTTGAAACAGAGCGCTGTATAAGAAAGATATATACGTTAGTGTTCGTTGGTTGGTCTGACAGAAAAGTACTTGCTAACCTTGAAAGAGGCAAAAGTTCTACATCACCAGGATCTTCCTAAAATCAACATTAACAGTGGTTTGTAATATATCAACAACTTAACAAAAAGTCAAGATTCATTAACCTATCTTTCACATAAAGCTTCGCACGACGGCTCGGCTCGGTCCATTTTTATCGAATAACGGCTCGAATTAATAATTTGTTCTCAAAGAAAGAAATGCATCAAATCATGAGAAAGCAAATCCCACGCCTTGGAATTGATTTTTTTTTAAAAAAAAAATTCATTTTTTTCTTTAGTTGATTCTTATTCTTCGTGGATTGTCTAAAAAGACATGACTTTATTAAGGGAATCTTACCTTTATAAAAAATTTTTCCGAGGTCCATAAAAAATATTTATCCAGCTTAATCCGAAACGGTTTGAAAATATTTGGTTCTCAAGTGATCTCGTCAAAATCTCATACATATACAAAGTGATTGGGTGCTACATATGAAACTTGGTATGATAACCAGTAATTCAAGTTATGGCCAACCTTTCGCGTAGACTTTTTTAAAAAATCGATCCGATAGCTTTTCCTTTTTTAACATACAATAAGTCAAACCCATACTTGTTTCTTTTAACTGAGTTATAAAGAGCGCATCTCCATATATTTGTGGTTATTGCACGATCAATTTATTTAGTTTCATTCAAACGTTCTGATCAAGTAGGAACTTTAGATAAGACGCAAATTGATGTGAAATAAAAAAAAAGTTTTTCAATTGTTTTCAATCAAGAATTAAAGTATTCAGTCAATCAATAAAATTTTGCTTTTTATTTGAATTATCATTAAATTATTTCAAGAGATTTTGATGTTTCAATTTGATAGCTTTAAAATTTTCGTAATTATATAATATTTAAATATGAAAAATCGAAAAAAAATCTATTAATCTAAATTAAAAGGGGAAGGGATTTTAAAAATAATTCCACCAAACTCGAATTCTATTATCAAATACGAAACACTTTGGGTATTAAATAAATGGATCATAAGAACCTAAGGAAATCTAGTATCGCCAGACCTGATAAGAGGAACTCTAACTACCTAGCTTCTGGCCCTAAACACACTCATCTATGATGGAAGGTACTGTCGCAACCAGGCTGACCGACCAATCATAAACAAATGTATTTAAGCATTTTCTTCTCGAGCGGGCCACCCATTAGCACTAACCAAAACTCTAGGTCAGATTTCCCGGATAAACGCTTTGTTTAAGTACACCAATAAGGGAATAGACAGACTGGGAGCCCATTGCCAGCAGATACGGCCCTGTATGTACTAGGAACCTCACCACTTTCTATTTATACCCAAATGTACATATAAGACCAATAAAACTCGAGTTGAAGACGAAGGGAAATAATAAGGGCCTTAGCAAATCAAAACGAACTAGTTTAATTATAAATGAAGGATAAGCGAAGATATAGTTAGTGAATCATCATAGTAAAACATGAAAGAGAAATTGCAACAAGTACTTACGTTCTTCAACTTTATTTTTAACTCATCTGCATGATTCATCGTCTATTTAATCGACTCGGATGCCGACTAAATATTATTTCAAAATATAGTAAGTACGTTGAAGAGAATTTTTTTTTCTAAAAAAAAAAAAAAAAAAAAAAAAAATAATAATAATAATTACTTACGCATAACTTGAACAATAATAATACGTTTAGCCACGTCTTAACTTTAGAGAAAAACGGAACGAAATACTGCTTTATCAGAAAAAATCGTTGGTCGATAAATTATTACATTAATAGTATCACCCCGTCCACTTTTTACAACTTAAAGAGCATACTAACTGGCAGTACTTGCATATCGTCACACAGAGAGGCGAGAGCGCGTATGAAAACACTACATAATAGAAAGGTTGGATACAGACAACATAAAAAGAATAATAAAAAGGAACACAAAACCAAAGTTATAATTAAAAGTTACAAACTTTCTAACTTTTCTTTCTTAAAGTTAGTCGAAAATAAGAAAGAGAATAACGAGAATATCACTGTATATAATCAATAGAAAAGAGCTTAAAAGCGTAAAAAGAAAACGACACGACATAAAAAAAAGAAAAATATTACAATAAACAAGTTATAAAAAATAACTTACAAAATTTCTAAAAATTTCTAATTTCGTTTCAGATTTTTTTTTTTTTTTTTTGATTTCTTGAAAATTAGAAGCTACGACCTTATTTATATATTTAGGCTTGCTCAAGAAATCTTTTCTTTTAAAAAAAAAAAGACCCTCTTTTTTTCGTGGGAAAAAAAATTGAAGTATCTTAACCCTCTTTTTTTATTTATGCATTTTATCCTTTTTTTAATTATTACACATGTCCAATTTATTTTTAAGCATATGAGTTACTAATCAAATTAACCAAATTAAACCGCCGTGATAATTTTGGACACAATTATTACCTTCTTGACCCCACCTCGTGTTACCATCCTGCCTGCATATATTGTATTACATATAGAAAGGATGTCGTACAGGGTCAAGAAGGTAATTTTTCCATTTTGAACATGCGCACTTCCCAAATCGGGGTAATCATAATTTTGGCCCGAAAATATTTCGGCCTTCCAAAATCATAACGAAAATTTAAAGTTTAGCGGCAATAGATTTGATTAGATTTGTTTTCCAGTAATCTTAATATGCAAGTACTCTTTAAAATTTATTTTCAAATCGGGCTCATTTCTAACGCAAATGTACAGTTCATAAGTAAGCCGTCGTCAAAATTATTAATATTTCATTTTGAAGATATAAAATAAATTAGTCATTTATGAACAACTTGTTTAAAGTTTTTATTAAACTCGAACCATTAATAATATAATTTTATTTAATATACTGGAGACTTGCTATAAATCCATCATTCTCATAGTATTAGAGCTAACTTTCGGAATCAGAGAAAAAGAAAAAAATTATATTTAAACTTTACTAGTTCTTTTATTTTAAATGAATTTTAAAAAAGGTAAAAATTTTATTACTAATTATATTTTTTATGAAATTTGTAATCTACATTTTTCTAAAATGTGTTAAATGAATTAAAAATGGTGAAGTAAATATAATTCTTAAATGTCTTAATTAATTTAAATGAAATTAATATCTTACGGTATATTTATATTAATAATTGGAATGAATTTTTATTATTTATATCGTTCAAATATTATTTATAATCAATGAAAATGAAATTTCAATGGCGGAATGCATGATCCTAACTACTGTTTCAGGCGAAACTATTTTTCAACATCCGAAACCTCCGAAACCCTAAATTTGGAAAGATTTTGCAGATCAAATTGGCGAAACTAGTTTCGCCCGAAACACTAATCCTAACGTTTTGCTCAATTCTATGACTTCAAGGAGATCTAAATTTAGGGATAATTGTACCCATTTTTAT